CTACATTTGAAATGAAACTCTTCATATCATTGGAAACAGGAAGTGGTAAATCCTTCTGCACCATCACACCAGTGTCATGGAAAGACCTGCTCAGCTGCAAACCAGTCTGAAATCACCCTGGGCAGTTTGTTCAAGCACACGTCAACCCTACAGATTTATTGTCATCCTGTCACAGTGCAAATCTGACTCTGCACGTTTTCTAAAAACAGCTTTTGGTTTAAACAGGCTTCAGACTGTCTGAATCTAGTATCTGGATGTAAAATGACATCACATCTAAAGGATGGCCGTGGTCTCTTATTGCCACCAAATACCATGAAATGTATCCAACTAACAAATACTGTGTGTCTACAAAGCCTAGTTCACATTAGAGCTACAAAAAGCTTCTCTTGGCCAAAAACTGTCAGACACGTGAGCAAGCCACACTGTTGTTCCTTCTTCACTAGGAACACAAACACTGTAGTCTGACTGCGCCGCCTGTACTCTGTCCTCAGAGGCCAGGTTTAATCCGCCGCTGAAAACAGTCCCCAGCAAAGCCACTACTGCCCGTTTGTTACAAACTACACCGACCAGCTGTTTAAGGGAATAACAGAGCTTTAAAGAACATCAGCTGTATTTGTAAGCTCCTAAAAAACAGCAGGAACCACTGGATAAGAAAGTCAAAAGGTCTTGAGGGATGGACTAACGTTGTTTGGTTGTATCATGGATTTGTTGACAGTAAATAAAAACATACAGCCTGATCTTTAACTGGGCAAAGTGCTCTGTCTGTAGACCTGATCTGCAACATGTCACTGGTTTCTTGCAACAATCTGAAAAATGAACTGATAGACTGAAATAGGGGAAACGACCCGACCTATCAGCCAAGACCAAGGGTTTCAGTGTCTGCTGCGACATTTACCTTCTGCTCACAATTCTGTGGCTTGAAGACAAGGTTTTTCCAGGACACTGACGATGGATCAAATACAGAACCACAAAAATGTGTGCAATCCTTTAACGAAACCAAACGGGGTGAAATCCTGGTGGCGATGTGCTGAACTGATTGTCGCACTCCGGTCAGGGCGAGTCGACACCACACAGATCTTAATCCCGTTTAGTTTCAAGAATCTGGTTTAAGATCTCGTGAGTGCTGAGCCAGACTCAGACCAGACGGGGAATTAAAGGCAGTGGGTGATTTGTCAAAAGAGTCGACAATGAGTAGTTTGAAGGGCAATGCTAAATCCCCCGACAGAGTAAGAGCTCGATTCATGGCATGGAAAAAGCCAACTAGAGCACAAGAGTCCTGCACAGATACATCTCTGTACTACTGGTAAACTGTGGGTAAAGTGCAAACACTGGTGGTTTGTTGCACACTGAACCTTTTTCATGAGTTTATATTATTTAGATCTTTGACAAGCTTGTTTCAAAGCAGCAGTCTGGTACTTGAACCACACTAAACAGCATTTACGTAGCTCTAAACCAAGGTGTTTTTGCCTTCTGATGATGATGATGATATGACCAGATTCTTTGGAACAGTTCTTTCAGTTTGGATTTCCAGTTGAGAATAAAAATAAATTCATTTGATAAACTGATGAACTTTTTTCCAGTTTTTGAACTAATTAGGTTTTTTTCAGAGATTCGTTTGATTTACCTCAATGTTTGACATAACATTGGCACACTTGCCAAAGTGTAGGTCTTCAATCAATTACCAGCCTTGAGAAGCAACCTCAAGTTTTCTCCTCATGCAGTGTAGGAACAGCAGGACTCTAGGTCTTTGTGTTTGTTTGCAAAGCAAACAGAAGCTGGACATTTGACTTTAATTCTGGACTTTATGATAAATCACCCACTGGCCAGAGAACTGGTGGACATGAGCATGCTCACCACCAGAAAACACATGCTGGAAGAGTTCAGGACAGTGTAAATAACCTCCTTGTGCACTTGAATCAGTTTTTGGTGTGATCTCGAAGGCTGTCAGAGGAAGAGCGATAAAAGTGTCCATCCCAGGCCCTTCTTCAGTGCGACTTTGCACAGGTGTGGTAAAGTGACAGCACATTTAAACTCAAAGTGCAAAACTATCAATGAAAACAGATGAAGTTGCTTTTCAGGTTTTCAAGGTGATTTTTCTTGACCACTCTCTCCTCTCATCTATTACAATGTGGTGATTCAGCCCCTTTTTAACAACTAGTCCCGCTCCAAAGTTGAAAGAGAGAGATTGCTTATTTTTTCCCCTCATCTTACTCTAAAAAATATAAAAAAATAGTAATAATCGTACCGCTATTAAAAGACTGGTAACATCAATAAAGTTATACTTTTACTATGAAAACATTTTTAAAATGACGTCATTGTTTTCCCTCCTCGCTCAAGTCTCAATCTGTCAGAGAGCCATCGATTCTGACTACTGAAAGTTAGCGGTCGAAACGCCATTGGGAATGCCATCACTCTTACAGCCATGTGTACTCTAAAAGCATTGATCAACAGTGGGAAGGCACCAACCCCCCCCCAGGCCAATAAATGATGTTTACATCTTTGATATAGTTTCCCTGACCCCCCGTATCTGAAGCCAGGGGTCAGTCAGTGTTTCAAACTCTTGGCTCGTCAACATGAGAGGCCCAAGAGGTCAAAGGAATCCAGAGGCGGGTCTCCTCTGTGCTTCTATCTTTACAGACGGGGTTTCCCTCGCTGTCTTTGTAGTTGATCTGCTTCTCTGTAATAAACTCCAACAGCGTTGTCCAGTCCACGAGTCTCCACAGGGAACTGGAAATAACATTAAAGGTAGTAAATATTCAGCTTTGTTTGCTTCTTTACTTGACTCCCATAGCTTCTCTCTGATGCCCTCAGCGTTCCTCGGCTAGGGTATGTTCAGTAAACAGAAGAACAAACAGGCTTAACCCACAAGTAGCCTTTTTTTTTTGCTTTTTGGTTCCCGCTATGGTACTGTTTCCTGTTCTTTGTCAGTGTCAAACACTGGCTGTGATTGTTTGCTTGATTTGCTGCCAGCAGTGTCATCGATGATAGCTTCTGTCTTGGCAGCGAGTGGGTGAAAGAGCTCCAATGTGGTCCGTGTCACGCTGTCGTATGATGGCGGTGAGGACGCGGAGGAAATCATCTCTGAACGCTCTGTAACTAACAAACTTGAGCCGTAGTTTTCTCTCATCATCGCAGCAATTAGCCCTTCTTTCTCAGGTGCATCATCCCCGAACACTATCTCGCCATGTTCCTGGCCATCGCCTCCTGCATGCCCTGGCGAGGTGATCTGGCGGTACAAGTAGGAGGCAGCCTTCATCTGTCGCCTTACCAGGTGCCTGCGGTAACACCTCTGAATCACTGTGGCAGAAACTTCTTCCTGTTTCCGCCTCAGAGTTGTTGTGATTGGCTCATAGGAGATCTTGGACGGATTGGCCATCATGAACTTCTCCTCCATCTGCTGCTTGAGGGCGTCCATCTCATCCGACTCTCCCAGAACACGCTTGGTGAAGGCAAAGAGAATGTCCAAGCAGTGGATCTTGTCCCCACTGACCATGGGCAGGTCCATGGAGATCAGTTTTACCTTGTTAGGCTTGGCAATGCGCAGCGGCTCCGACAGTGAGTCGGCAAAGTCGGACAACTTGGCGTACTCGATGAACTGCGTGGCCTCCGGGTCAAACTTCTCCCAGACCTCGTAGAACATCTCAAAGTCATCCTCGCTCAGTGGCTCAGTGCTCTCCTCCGTTGCCACGCTGAAGTTCTCCAGGATGATGGCAATGTACATGTTTACCACGATGAGGAAGGAGATGATGATGTAAGTCACAAAGAAGGTGATGCCCACTGATGGGTTTCCACAGTTGCCCCTGACAGTGGTGCCAGTGTGGGGAATGTTGGGGTCGCACTCCTTAGGGGAGTTATTGAGAATGGGGCTGAGCAGGCTGTCCCATCCAGCAGAGGTGGTGATCTGGAACAAGCAGATCATGCTGTTCCCAAACGTCTCAAAATTAAACATGTCGTCAATCCCCCCTTGTCGTTTCACATAGGCGAAGTTAGCCATGCCGAAGATGGCGTAGATGAACATAACCAGGAAGAGGAGGAGCCCAATGTTGAAGAGAGCAGGAAGTGACATCATGAGGGCGAACAGCAATGTCCGGATGCCCTTGGCACCTCTGATGAGACGCAGGATGCGTCCAATACGGGCCAGTCGAATCACTCGGAAGAGAGTTGGCGACACAAAGTACTTCTCGATGATGTCAGCGAGCACGATACCTAAAAACAGATCAAAAGAAAAAGATAGTCATGTATGCTTGACATATTTATCTTTATGACCAACAGTTCTTACACTTGTACAGAAAGGAACTGTTTCAATGTTAGTACACAAAGAGTTTTATGATGAATAACAAAAGAGAAAACAACTAAGCAGCCTAACGCCGTGCACAGCATATCAGCTGAGTGTAATGATCTACCTGACACCAGGGGGCAGCAGCTGTCAAAACACTGAGGCTATGACAGTGGGGGTCGCCACCCCTCCCTTAAAATAGAAGCCCAAAAGCATCCCCATGAACCATCCCCAGGGAAGCCTCGTCTCAGCGTGCACACACACAGACACACGCCTAATTACACATGAGCTTACACATGAACAGGAGGAGCAGCGCACATGCAGTATGGGCGCTGAAGGCTAAACTAGCAGCTCGGGTTGCCCTGCGACACAGTTGTCCTGTTTATTTTGAGCGTGTGTGGGACTGTACATGGTCATACGGGACCTTGGTGCCCATCAACGCCACCAAGATGGTCACCGTGGTGACAGATTACTGCCAGGCAGGCGCTGTGTTGCTTCCTGATGATGGCTAACACACACCTGTGCACACATTAACCTTCCACTGATATATAGTTTTTTCAAATTGTCAAAGATTAATACCCCTCTCAAACATCCAATATCAATCAAGCTCAAGGCCCGTTCATCATTCCAATTATAAACAATCACCCTCCAGTAAAAAAAGGTGAACACTTCATTTTACCGGTCCAGTCCCCTAACAGCTTCAGGCAGCTCGGGACCTAATTATATGGTTCTTTCCAGGAAACTTGGTGAGAATTTATTTGAAAATAAAGTTGAATGTACAGAAGAATAATAAATGTCCCCTCTCTTTGTCACCATACATAACCGTTAATTTGAATATATAAAAAAATGGTTATGGGGATTCATCAGCTCTGTGGAGCTTTTTAGCCTCTTTTAGCTCCTGGTTTTACTCTAGAGGCCCCCAAAGGAAATATCGGTAACACTTTAATTTACAGGCGGTTAACTGCGTAGTCATATGAAGGAACTATGGAAAAATGACATAACGAGCAGCTGTTGTTTATGAGCGACCAGGAATGAGGTAAAATTAAAGCAGAATAATATGAATCATGCAGTGTTAAGAACGAGATAACAGGTGACATTTTCAGCCACTTCTTGGTGGTAAACAATGACCAGCGTGGCTGTCAGAACCCTTGGCTTGTTCAAAGGTAGATCCCTGGAAATTACTGATCCGTTCTACACACAGTACTTGGCTAAATCACCAGAACGGCAGCTATACGTTTATCCTGAGCGACACCAGCGAGGACATGCTGCCCGTCAA